TGTCACAGAAACTTGCACATTGCAAAATAAGGTGGATACAATGATCTGAATATGTGTGTGGGGGGCCTGGTAAAACCTACATAATGGGGACATAATGGGTCCACAAAGATGGCAATATTCATATGGGGACATTTTTTTGGTCCCCATGAGGAAAACTGCTTATAAATCATACTAAGTGGTCTTTTTTTCTTTTATTTAAAAATGGAACGTTTTTCTGAGAGAGGTAGGTTTAGGGTTAGTGTAAGGGGATAGAATAGTTTGTACAGTATAAAGATCATTATGCCTATGGAATGCGCCCCATAAACATGAAAACACACACGTGTGTGTGTGTGTGTGTACACAGCATTCAGAGGAACAACTCTCACACCCCTTACGAAAAAGAAGTTTTCAAGTGTGCCATTAGTATACTTCTTTTAAACTAAAAATAAGAAAGTATACTTTCAGTTTATTTTTCCTGTACTTCTCAGAACTTCAAATTACACTTAAGTGTACTTGACTTATACTGAGAGAAAAGCAAGTATATTTGTCCTGTTCTTGTACTCAATCTTTTGATCCAGAAATACTTAAATGTATAATTAAGTATTCAAAGTATACTTGTATAAGTATTACAGTAAAAAAAGTAAACTACTAGTATACCCATAAATTCACTTGCAGTACACATGAGATACATAATTATGAAGTAGTTGTGCACTTACTGTTACACTTATAGTACACTTAAACATATACTTTTGTGTACTAAAAGTGGGCCAATTTAGTCCCAAGCGGTATTAAAATAGTACACTTACAAGTTTACTTGTAGTACATAGTGACATTAGTATACTTACTACATAATGTATACTTAAAAATATACTTGAACATTACTTAAGTATACTACATAAAATGAACTTGAAATATACTTCTTTTTCGTAAGGGACCCATGACAACGTCAGCTCCAGAGAAGAGTGTTTTTGCTAATGTTCCTTTGTTAACATATTTTGTTGATCCTGGAACATTTCTGTCTGAAAATGTTGTTCTATCCCTAAACCATAAGTTATCCCTAAAATCAGAGGGAAATGATAGCAGAATAACACTGATGTACATGCGCCTAATGCCCGGTTTTCAGACAAGTCTCAGGCCTAGTCCCAGACTAAAATCCATGTTTGAGCTGCATGTTTGAGCAACTTTTACTGATAAAATATCAGCTATTGTTTTGTCTCAAGATGCACATCAGTATTGTTCTTTCTAATTCGTGTTCATAAAAGCTACTTAAATGTCCTAATTTCATTAAAGAAAGCTGGCGTATGGTAATCAAAGCCCTGTCTATGAAACCAGGCCATAAACTGTAAACTTACTGGTTCAAAACTGTTTGGTTAAATGGAATGACAAAGATGCTGATCCAGGAACATGTTAAACTTGATGAAATCACCTGGTGTCGGGGAAATTTGAGAGAGAAAAACAATTCAACCTTTAATGTTATCAAGCTGACTGGTAGCGTAAATTAAGACGACAAAACATTTGAACGCTATAGTGTCACAGTGAGAGGTATGGTTTTGAACTAGATGAAAATGAATATTGTGTCATTGCTCATTCAACCTCATGTCACTCTTTATCACATACAAAATGTTTTTTTGTTTTTTCCATACAATAAAATTACATATGGGGGCCAATTGTTTTTTTGTACCCTATTGACTTTAATTGTTTGGACAAAACAGTTAAAAGTGTCTGAAAATATATTCTTTTTGTTCCACAATAGTAGTAATACTGTTTTTATGTTTATTTTAAATACATTTTCATTTTTGCTAAACTACAAAAAAAAAAACATTATTTGTTATCGTAACGTTTTTCTTCTGTCAAATCAACCTAGATAATTTATGTGGTTCAGATAACAATTTTTTTGAGTTGGATTATTAAATCAATCTCCTTCATTGGATTCATTTTTCAATTTCAATGAACTTAAAGTTAAGGAAACCAGGTTACTTCATTTTTTAGGTTAAACCAACAATATTTGTTTATATTTACATAAATGGACAATTGGTGTGCCTCTTTGGCTTTTATATCTCGTTCCATCAACATCTGGCAGAGATGTGTGTGTAAGTGTGTATGCAGAGGAGGCTTGCTGTGCTGAGCAGGTGTGGTTACAGGAGGGGGTGTGACCGCTGTGAGGTTCAGTGGAGAGATCAAGAGCGATTTGGGGCGGAAATCTGGAGGGACAGGATGTGTGTGTGTTCAGAGGATTAGATTGGGAGAATGGCAAGGCGTTTGGCATTATGCTCTCACTGGGGTCCACACACACACCCCTAGAAACTCTGCTAGGGCGCAGATGTGCCATACTTAGGGGGGCAGAGCCAAAAAATCAAGACCCCAATGTGTATGGTTACACGTGCATGTGTTGAGTATAACCGACTCCGAGTGCCGTTCAAGCTTGATAAGACAGTTTTTAGTGCAGTGCTGACATCAGGGAATTCACTCATGCAAATACTGAGATTAAAAAAAACTCTTTGCATTATGTATGTCTACGGGAAGCCCAAAAACATATTACTAGGTCAGGCATCTGACACATGTGTAATTGGGTCTGTGAGGATTTATATGGGTTAAATCTTGAAGGATGGCATTATAAGAGCAATGTGGCATCGGAAGACCCTCGATGTGCTATTGTCTTTCTGACAGAAACCGGGTCCCTTGAACAAAGCAGCGTTATCATTCGTCACATTTCATAAAACATGAGTTGTTATAAATAGACATAGGCCTAACTAAACGGCCAAGAAATCCACGCTGACAGTTGTGAATCATGATGGGGAAAAGTAAAAGCAGAGCAAAAGGGAAGTAAAGCAGAAATTAAGACTTGGTTTTAAAATGTAATACACAGTGCAGATGGTATGACGGTGTCTCCAAACTGTAGTGCAAACAGGCGAAACATTTCTGACCGAATAATAAATGAACACTATATGTGACCGCTGTTATTATGCATGAGGGTCACAGCTTGTTATCTTTAAGAAAGCACATCAGTTGCCCTCAGACAGTCCATGGATAATCACTGTAAAACGGTTAAAATCGTGTTGTAATTATGTATACTAGCAGGTGGTTTCCATCATTTCCTATTAACCAATACAATGACAACACAGAGGCCATGTTTCACATTACAGTGAAGTGTATATTTTATAGTTTATAAAAGGCCTATATTGTTTAAGGATAATATGCACCCTAGTAATAGTGTACATACAGTAGCCTATAGACCTATTCAGAGCAGCGCCATGACAGGTATGAAAGTGAGGCTGTGAGGGATAGACTTACCGTGTTTCCAATGGCATCCGCTGTAAAAAGCTGAATAAAGCTCCTAGATTACTTACAATTTTTTGAAATTTCTTGGAAAGATATTTTTCCAGTGTTTCAGAACAATCCAAAAACACATTAAATAAAAGTACAGCCCATTGAAGAGATGCATGTCTATCCCTCACAGCCTCGCTTTCATTCTCATTAAAAATCAAAGATGGCGCTGCCGTGAATAAGGCGTCTAGTCTAATTTCGAGAATGTGGTCCAATTTATATTTAAAAGGCATGTAATTTAATAAGAAAATAGGTAAAATTTCTCTCAATGCAAACTTTTAAAGCATTGTTAATGAAATTGTTTTAAAGCAATGCATTTATTGTTAAGAACATGTTACATAAACACTTTAAAATAAAGGTAAAGTAGAAAGAATACATTTGGTAAATATACTACGTATATCAGTCTAAATATGATCAGAAATACATTAAAAACAGGAATGTTACTAAGTTAGTACCTAAATTACCGTTTTCTATTTAAATAATCTTTTTTTTTTTTCTATTTTGAGGATTTAAAATTTGTTTTATTCCTGTGATGGTAAAGCTGAATTTTCCTAAGCAAATCATTCAAATATGCTGATTTGGTGCTCAATAAATATTTCAAATTTTTAAAACATTTTGAAATCAGTTGTGCTTCTCAATTATTTAAATGTAGAAAGTTCAAAAGAACATTTATTTGCAATAGAAATCCTTTGAAATATTATAAATGCCTTTATTGTCACTTGTGATCAATTAAATGCATCATTGCGGAATAACATTTTTAAATTATAACATATCAAAAACTATTTCAAAAAATGTGTTTTTGAATTGTTGATATGTTGCCTATCTATCTATAGTAATTTCACTTAGTTAACAGGCTATATCTGAAGAAGTTTAATTTTTTTAAATTAAAATAAAATGTTCAAAAGGATGTTAGTTTGAGTACCTTTTTGTTTTGTTGCTTTACATCCAAAAAATGGCCACTAGTTGTATCCATTACTATGCTGGTGTGTCTTTAAACAAATAAGATGGGAGAAGAAAACATACACAAAGTGTTTACGTGACCTTTCTACAATGCTCTATACGGCTGTGTAACAAACAGTGTTTGAGGGCTTTGGACTCTAATGCAGCCACTCCATCCACACACACTCGTTCCCTTCATCAGTCAGTGAGCTTTAACTCATGCAACATTAATGCCTTGATTTATTCCCCTCACTTAAAGAGAGAGGGAGAAATGTCAACCATTGTCAGCATCTATTCATCCTTCCGTCTGTGCCTCCTCCTCCCTCTCTTTTCTAATGCACAGTGTATCCCATCAGGGCATCCTTACATAGGTTTGCTGTCAGTTTGATGCATTTCAACTTCATGTCCATAAATCAGATTGTCAAAAAAAGTCCAGAAATGCTGACAACTCTTACATTTGCGCTCACAAAAATAACAACTTAAAATAATAATGAGGTTTAGTGATTATGGTTTAGATGATTTAATTACAGGTGAGCTTTAGAAAGTAGATTTTTTACATTTATCAAATGTTTTGAAATAAGATGAAGATGCATGTATGCATGCAGTTTAGTTTAATATTACGTTTAGTTTAAGTATTAATGCTGAGTATCTTCTAGTTTTCCAGTGTGATTGTCAAATGTATAACGCTTCATATTTCTTTAATTCCAAACTGTGTGTTTGCGTTTTAATGCAACATGAAAATACAAGAAATGCAGAGATTTTAATAAAACAGGTTTTATTGTTTGTACTGTGCTTGACGCTTTAACACGATCCAATTGTTATACAGAAATATACAGAGTTTACTCTGTACCAGAATATTATGCCTACTTGACAAAATCTGGTCTTTAAAAGTCTTTCAGCTCAGCAAGGCTGAATCCACTAGATGAAAGACCCTGATCAAGGGTCACGTCATGCCCGTGGCCTTTAAACCAGCGTAAGCAAGAAGACTTGTGGGGTCACGACCTCATTCAGACATGGGCTCCCCAAACTGGAACATGTCCTCATCGTAGAGGTCTTCAGGGAGCTCTTCGTCTCCATCAGCAAAGAACGTGGGGAACGGCGGGCTCTTGTTCTTCTCAAACCGAGTGGGCAGAACCGTGTCTCGAACCTGATCGAGTGAACGCAAGCACAAGACAACAGGGCAAGATTATAATGCCGTTTTCACTACACTCGACAAAGTCATAATGTGCTGAACAAGTCACACTTTGAGTTCAACTTGCGGTTGAGTGTGCATGCAAACAAATTCTATGAGACAAAATGCTGACAACATATGATCGATTCACTGATACACTTTGCACACACAAACGCCTCTGTGCATTGATACAGATAAATGATTCAGCACGAGTGTATGCTAGCATGCCAAGCTCAGTGCTAGTGTTGGCATTGACAGAATAGTACGCAAATCTTTCTAGCTAAATGCTGCTGAAAGTGAAAAAGAAGCAGAGAAGATAAAAGCAAAGATGGAGAATATCCTTCACCAAAAGACATTCTACCTGAGGACAAGTACTTGAGACTTGGCATACTTGGGAGTTTATGCATGTGTGAGGGCGTTTTACCTTAACAATACAGTTGCGGTGACCTGGTACTGAACCGTTGACATAGAGGACATTATACTTGGTGTTCACCCTCCATATCTGCCAGAGAAAAGACCTTAGTGAAACTACAAACTCACACACAATTTTTCACTGTGACACCAGGGGCCTCATTTATAAACGTTGTGTACGGACAAAAGAAGGCGTACGCCGCTCTCTGCGCAATAGTTGGTATTTATAAAAAGCAAACTTGACGGTCCTTCACGCAAGCTCTGACCCAGGCATACGCACAAAAACGGGTGAAATGAGAAATGGCGACACCGTCGGCAGTTGGAAAAAACACGAGAAAGTGTGTGAAACTGTAGACGGTTGTGTAAAAATAAATGGCAATACTGCCTCTCATAAATAACACGAAGACTTCAATCTTACAATTAACAGCCTACATGATACGAACACCCGTTTGATCGATCTGTAACAGAAATGCAAATTAACACATATTTCCAAAAAGAAAGAAATATGTTCTTCAATAATATTGGCAAATGCAATTCATCCTCATAAATAAGATGGTAAACAGAACAAAATAATGTACAAAACTGATATTCTCACCAATAAGTCCGTCTAACGGAGCAGATATAGCAATTAGATAGGCTAGTCAGTCAGATAGATAGATAATTAGGGAGATATATAGATAGATCGATGAATAGATAGATGTATTATTTGTCCACTGGGGAAAGTTGTTTTCATCGTAAAAATATCTTCATCAGCTACGGAATCATGATATTCATGCATATACCTTTAGTTTGTTTTGTTTTTGATAAAATAATGTAGCTATGACGTGTCTCAAGCATTCAGAAAGCTGCAAGAAATTACATTTGCGCTGAACTATTTCCCCCATTTAGATTATAACCGACATCCGGAGCTTGTCAGATGCAGAATTAAATGGATGCAAATCCTACGCAAAGTTTTATAAATGAGGCCCCAGGTGACTTTACAGTAGATGCCTCATAAGTACAATATATTATGATACAGCAGCTGAGCTTTACAATTGTGTGAGCTATATATAAAAGATATAAAAAGGCATTTTGTGCATTCTCATCAATGTACCTTCAATCCATGAACAGTGTCATATACGTTTCCCATCCTGCCTGGCATCTTCTTGCCTTTGAAAACCTTCGCTGGATCCTGATGGAGAGGAGACAAGTTACTTAACTCATCCATTAACCATTCAAAGAGCACGTTGAGGTCACACTTAACTCTCTAGAGACCATACTGGACAGTTATGGCTATCTGAAATGACTGATGTGAAACCTCTGAGAAAGTGCTTCAATATCTGATTTTTTTAAGTGAGAGGGATATATTGTGTTCCTGAGAAGAAATGCTAACAGTTCCTAATATCTCTGAAAAAATGTCCAATCAGGATTGAACGGCAGCTTCCGTTGCAACAGATCCACCCTAGATATTAACATGCAAGATCAACAGGAATAAAAATAGTGCACAATGATAAATGCATTATGGAAATTTTAGCAGATCTGACAGATCCATAATTACATATAAATATTGAATATGTATTTATACTCCCTGACAAATTTGCCCACAACTCCACTCACTAACACCAGCTCAGAATACCTGATTCACTAGTTCAACTTTGGTGTTACTTTAATAAGCGCTACACAATAGCAAGTGGAATTACTGGCTTAATTCAGCCATACAAGTTTGAACCAGAAACTGATTCAGAGGAGGAAGAGTGAACGGTTATGCGTTTTATGTATTGCTCTCTACATTGGACACATAACGGTAATTAATATGACTAGTCTTTGGCTTGACTGTTACAGTGAGGAAAATAAGTATTTGAACACCCTGCTATTTTGCAAGTTCTCCAACTTAGAAATCATAGAGGGGTCTGAAATTGACCCTTCGCTAAGCCCCGCCCTCCCTAGTTACTGTTGCTACGCCTGTCAAGCTTTCGCGGCTGGCCCATCTATTATAGTGCGGATGCACCCGGTGTCAGACATTTCGATGAGATAATTAGTAATTTTCGGCGAACACGTGAAATATCTGAGAGAGCAAGACAAAAGGGACTACAGTATGCATTCGAGGGATATATTCACGACATTATATGCAACCGATTAGAGAATAATTTCTTAAAAATTGAAGTTAAAGCCTAACGTTATAGTCCCAGCGCAAGCAGCAGCGCCTCATACGCTGACCGTTCAAATGGGAAACACAAATTGAGGAACAGCTATGTTCATATACAGCAGGGTATGTGAAAATAATCTTAATAATTATAAATCAAACAGCTTATCAATAAATCTTGTGGAATAACACTAATACCGGGAGAGCTGAGATCTGATCGGGTTAATTAGTAAGGGGTAACGTTAGTAGGACGTCGATTAACAAAATGCTGAAATATATTTTAAAGTATGTCAGTGAGCCTTTGTCTTGTCTCTTTAATCATCTTATTTTACGTTATATCATTATGACCAAAGAACCGTCAATATTTCCAAGCAATATAGGTGTTTTTGTTAAGCATGTCGACATTTACCAGAATGGGTCTTGCACATAGATGCTAGATCACGGCAATCATTTCTCCCCTTGGCTTTTAGATTATCTGGAAGGAAAACAATTCCTCTCCCCCGTCCAAACTTTTAGTATACCGGTATCAGATTTACATAATCCATACGCACAATGCTTCAGCATGTTTCCCTCGTTCGAAAGCTTGCCAGACCTCCCGCGCATAGTTACGGTTGCTAAGACATGATTGGCCAGTGGCGGTTTTCGGGCGTGGCTTAGCGAAGGGTCAATTGTCATCGTAGGTTCATGTCCACTGTGAGAGACATAATCTAAAAAAAAATATATATATACACACATCTAGAAATCACAATGTATAATTTTTTTTAACTATTTATTTGTATGATACGGCTGCAAATAAGTATTTGAACACCTGAGAAAATCAATGTTAATATTTGGTACAGTAGCCTTTGTTTGCAATTACAGAGGTCAAACGTTTCCTGTAGTTTTTCACCAGGTTTGCACACACTGCAGGAGGGATTTTGGCCCACTCCTCCACACAGATCTTCTCTAGATCAGTCAGGAGAAACACGGAGTTTGAGGTTTAGGTCTGGAGACTGGATAGGCCACGCCAGAACCTTGATATGCTTCTTACAGAGCCACTCCTTGGTTATCCTGGTTGTGTGCTTCGGGTCATTGTCATGTTGGAAGACCCAGCCTCGACCCACCTTCAATGCTCTAACTGAGGGAAAGAGGTTGTTCCCCAAAATCTCATAATACATGGCCCCGGTCATCCTCTCCTTAATACAGTGCAGTCGCCCTGTCCCATGTGCAGAAAAACACCCCCAAAGCATGATGCTACCACCCCCATGCTTCACAGTAGGGATGGCGTTCTTGGGATGGTACTCATCATTCTTCTTCCTCCAAACACGGTTAGTGGAATTATGACCAAAAAGTTTTATTTTGGTCTCATCCGACCACATTTGCCTTTCTCCCATGACTCCTCTGGATCATCCAAATGGTCATTGGCAAACTTAAGACGGGCCTTGACATGTGCTGGTTTCAGCAGGGGAACCTTCCGTGCCATGCATGATTTCAAACCATGACGTATTATTGTATCACCAACAGTAACCTTGGAAACGGTGGTCCCAACCTCTTTTCAGGTCCTCCCGTGTAGTTCTGGGCTGATTTCTCACCTTTCTTAGGATCACTGAGACCCCACAAGGTGAGTTCTTGCATGGAGCCCCAGTCCGAAGGAGATTGACAGTCATGTTTAGCTTCTTCCATTTTCTAATGATTGCTCCAACAGTGGACCTTTTTTCACCAAGCTGCATGGCAATTTCCCCACAGCTCTTTCCAGCCTTGTGGAGGTGTACAATTTTGTCTGTAGTGTCTTTGGACAGCTCTTTGGTCTTGGCCATGTTAGTAGTTGGATTCTTACTGATTGTATGGAGTGGACAGGTGTCTGTATGCAGCTAACAACCTCAAACCGGTACATCTAATTTTGGATAATAAATGGAGTGGAGGAGGACATTTTAAAGGCAGACTAACAGGTCTTTGAGGGTCAGAATTCTAGCTGATAGACAGGTGTTCAAATACTTATTTGCATTGGACAGCACCTACAGCACTCATGGTGGACATGCACCTACGATGACAATTTCAGACCCCTCTATGATTTCTAAGTGGGAGAACTTGCAAAATAGCAGGGTGTTCAAATGCTACAGTAATTTTCCTCACTGTATCAAACAGCTAACAATGTGTTGACAATGTTACAAAAATGTATTTAGTGTTGGTAACTGGGTTATTGTGCAGTTGTTTTCTTATTGTTTTCTTATGCTGCAGATGGCGCTGTGTAGCCATGTGTCCCTTGAACATTGAAACAGTAAAAGAAGTCAGTTCGAAGCATACTCGGTCTAAGTGTGTTATTGTTAGTGATAGCACCTCAGAATATAATGATATTCTGATAAATGCAACATTCACCATCTCAGAGTCAGACAGCTGCCTTCTAAAAATCAGCTTTGAACAACTTAGAAGATCAGCAGAGAAAGGCATAAAGTTCATCATAATTTTCACATGGTTTGACTTAAAGCATATTAAAAACACCACATACACACATAAACAACATAAAAAACATGATTTTCACCACAGGGGGTCTTTAAAATATTTTTAAAACGTAATTTATTCTTGTGATGGCAAAGCTGAAGTTTCAGCATCATTACTCCAGTCTTCAGCATCACATGATCCTTCAGAAATCATTCTAATATGCTGATGCCGCAAAAATATTAATTTGTAATGCTTAATATTTTTGTGCATACTTTTCTTGAGGATTCTTTGAAGTTTGATGAATAGAAAAGTTCAAAAGTTTTGTGCGTCACATTTGATCAATTTAATGCATACTTGTCGAACAAAAGTCATTTCTTTAAAAAAAATATATCTTATTGAACCCAAACTTTTGAATGGTATGTGACAATACCATTCAAAGCGACACTACGAGAACAGAAATAAAAACACTCACCCCTCCCGGCCCCAGAGAACCTGGCCTCCTGTGTGTTTTAGTTTGTCCATGGGAAGCTGGCTGACCTTTGAACCCCCAACGCTTCATTACTCCCTGAAAACCCTTGCCAATTCTACAATTAAAAAGATCAACAGTGCAATGCTGTGAAGATGTAAAAAAAAACATTCAGTTATTATATGCTGTGTACTAACATAAGAGATATGTGGATGGAGCCATAGAGAGGAAGGATCTCAGGCATGAAACAGGCCTGACAACTCAGATACTCAGATTAATCAGGAGTTCCTTGAAGCAAGGCTCTCTTCAAAAATTTAATACTTCATTCCATTCCAGCTTAATATGTAGAAACAAACAGAAGTCATTTGTGTTTTTATGTGTTAATTACGTAACCACCCTATTTTGGTAAAAATCCATCCACTCCGTTTGTTATTTTCCCCCTTAAATCAGAAAAAGTCTCTCAAAACGTGCTGTTCTGGAATGCTAAGCATTGTGACGTCACAATATAACAGGCCGTCGACACAACTGTCGATGGAATTGGCCCTATTAGCTTATCCGTGTTTATGTCCGGTACACCATAGCATCTGTACAGCATTTAACAGCAGCATTATAGTAAGACATTGATTCTTATTAAAGCTACTAAAATTATTCAAGAGAAGTGAGTGATTTGAGAGCAGTGATTTTCTGATTTTCTTTCGTTGTTTGATTCACATTAACAGCAGGTACCGTACATTCAGCGGCAGTCACTTATACACAGATCTAATTTAGACTTGCGATTTCTTTCCCAGCTGTTTGTTCACAGACATAACAGACTGCGTTTACAGTAAAACTTTAAATAATAGCCCAGGCTTTTATTCTCCCAAATCGTTGAACTGCACTGGCTTGACAGGCGTCTATATGAGACCAGCCTCATTGAGTCTCTAATCTCTAAAAGCTTCCTGTGAAAGTGCGGTCTTCCAACCTTTTTTTATAGACCTTATTCGCAAATACCGGAAGTAGCTAACCGCGGCCATATTGTTGACATGACATCTGTCCTGCTGCCCTAAGCAGCGCGCAGATTTGAGTTGAGGGGGAGCTTCATCTCGTCGGTATCAAGAGAAGATAAGCTTGATTGGTGTATGGACCCACATCAAAATTAAATAATAGCATTAAGCAAAGATCCGTCCTTATTGCCAGCCGTAACCTATCCAGATATTTATAACGTTCTCGATCATACTGTATCCGTATAATGTACAAACTACAATTTACCTCAACAAGGCAACATGAACGAAACTCATCTCATTCGTGGAGGTGGAAAAACAAGTGCTTTGTGACATGCAAGATTTGTTGTATTAAAATGTAAGTGCAAAAGAAAAAGGCATGAGAGTCGGTTGTTTTAGTCAATTTTAAGTTTTCATTTAAAATGTTTGTGATTTTAATATAAGTACATGGTTACATATTTGACCACTTGCTTGAGCAACTTAATATATAGAAGTAATGCATGGAATAATTGGCTTACGTTGTTGAAATAATGAGTATGTGTTAAAATAAAAATAGTGAGTACCGGGGTGTTTGTGGCAACGTTACAACCGCGGATCAGTTATGCACTGCAAACGCAGCATATTTAAAGCACTTGCGTCCTTCTTCTGTACTGTATACACACTAGGGGTTTCACAACTACTGATTTTTGCTAGTCGACTAGTTTTGCTTAACAGTCGACAACTAGTCGACTAGTCGTTAAATGGTTTATTCTATGGGTGTGCGATATCACGAATAGTAAATGTCTCCACGATCTGCTTTTGAAGAAATATGGTAGTATCGTGTTTGCATTCTATCAGTTCTGGCGCCTCTGTCTCAACTGTACAACGCGATGTAGCCTACACATCACACGTTAATGAATAGGTACGGTACACGGCAATTCACAAAAGTTCATTATTTGCATAAGCCTTGTCGGTTAAACATTTAATTCACGCGCTGTTCTAACGTGCGCTTTCCTGAGCACGCGGCATACCCCCGACCCTCACAGGCGCCTGTCAAACAGCGCCTGAATACTGGACTAAGTTATCTTTCGAGTCTTATTATGCTAATACTGTTAAATACACAAAATGTTTACATAAACAGAAATGGCACATGTCTAAAGTGAAAGCAAACATTTGAAAGAAAATCTGGTGTAATATGCGTCTATATTAAACACATCGCATGCTGGTCTAAAAGCGAAAGTAGTAACTCGTATTTTCCGCACTATAAGGCGCACTTAAAAGCCTTTAATTTTGTCAATCCGGCCTTTTCTCAAGCCTTCGGAGCGCATTATATAGCCTATGGATCAATTGCTCGCGCTCGTGTCCATCTTATGCCCGCTTTGTCACATGGCCAGTTTAACCTCGTATAAATCAGGTTGTGTGTGTCTCCCGCTCACGAGCGCTCACTCTTACACACACGAACAGACACACTGTCCCCGGCGTCACAGAATGTGCATAAAGCGCTCCCCGTTCACAGTAACCGGGTCGTCTCATTCAACAGCTGTTGCTGTCTGCGAGTCAGGTTGCGAATGTAAGTTACGTGCCCGCCCCAGCATGCTCACGCTTACTAAATAAACGCCTCATCTCTGACGCCGCGCACTCGCTGCATTCCCTTTAGCACATCTAGTGGATGCATAACGCAAACCCAGTCAAACGTTTGAAAAATGTTCTAAAATAGGTCATTGAAGGTGCGCCTTATAGTGCTTATAGTATATAGTAATGCCGCTTGTACTTAAAGGGATGGTTCACAAAAAATATATCTATATATGTCATAATTTTGTTTCCGACTAGTCGACTAAGGCCAACAGCGCCAACTAGTGGTTGTGACAGTCGACTAGTTGATGAAACCCCTAATACACACCGCACATGCATTGCACATGGATTATGTGTGAAACCTGAGGTAAAATGATGGGAACAGACTTTTCTGTGGGGAGTTGGCTGAAAGTTTATCCTATTTATCCTAGCTAGCCTCTCCTGCACTGTCTCAACCCTGTCTTCTTCCCTTCATGTTTTCTGACAGTCGGTAACTTATCGCATAAAAACTAACTCTGATGTTCTTATTGCTGTTGTTAGAACAGCCGTGTATTACACAACACCATCACGCTTTAAAAAACAAAACAAAACAGTGATAATATCATGGATAATCCCGACGCTACCTCACTTGTCCATTGACAGACTGACAGTTGCTGTGGTTTCTATGTCAACAATATGGCCACCGCAAACATTGATGACACAGATCGAAAAAGGTCTATTATGTCAATTGATTTGATTAATATGCGCGAGGGAGAGAGAGCGCTCGTTTTGTTTGAAGAACAAAACGCTCTCTCTCTCTCTGTCTCTCCCTCTGTTATGCGCCCTGTCAATCTCTCTCTCTCTCTCTGTTATGTGCCCTGTCAAGCGCAGCAGTCATTCTATTCTTCATCACTCACCGATCAAAATAGGCTTTGGCGGGACAAAAATTAGCTTTGGAGGCCGCCAAAAAGCGGACAATGTTACAGTTTTAGAGGATTAACAACCTGAAACTAAAAACAGACGCGGCCTCTATTTGAGACTGGCTTTTATTTACTCAACCCTGCAGCCACACCAGGCTTGTAAAAGAGACAGGCGTCTATTTGGGACTCGGCTATTATTTGAAGTTTTATGGTATGTTAAATGTGTATGTTTGACAGTTTAAGCACAATAAGATGCGAAAGAGAACTTGGTTTAGTGCTCACTCTACACACGGGGTGACAGCTGGCTTTATATACGCATATACACTCACCGGCCACTTTATTAGGTACACCTGTCCAACTGCGCGTTAACACTTAATTTCTAAGCAGCCAATCACATGGCGGCAACTCAGTGCATTTAGGCATGTAGACATGGTCAAGACAATCTCCTGCACTTCAAACTGAGCATCAGTATGGGGAAGAAAGGTGATTTGAGTGACTTTGAACGTGGCATGATTGTTGGTGCCAGAAGGGCTGGTCTGAGTATTTCAGAAACTGCTAATCTACTGGGATTTTCACGCACAACCATCTCTAGGGTTTACAGAGAATGGTCCGAAAAAGAAAAAACATTCAGTGAGCGGCAGTTCTGTGGGCGGAAATGCCTTGTTGATGTCAGACGTCAGAGGAGAATGGCCAGACTGGTTCGAGCTGATAGAAGGGCAACAGTGACTCAAATAACCACCCGTTACAACCAAGGTGGGCAGAAGAGCATCTCTGAACGCACAGTACGTCGAACTTTGAGGCAGATGGGCTACAGCAGCAGAAGACCACACCGGGTGCCACTCCTTTCAGCTAAGAACAGGAAACTGAGGCTACAATTTGCACAAGCTCATCGAAATTGGACAATAGAAGATTGGAAAAACGTTGCCTGGTCTGATGAGTCTCGATTTCTGCTGCGACATTCGGATGGTAGGGTCAGAATTTGGCGTCTACAACATGAAAGCATGGATCCATCCTGCCTTGTATCAACGGTTCAGGCTGGTGGTGGTGGTGTCATGGTGTGGGGAATATTTTCTTGGCACTCTTTGGGCCCCTTGGTACCAATTGAGCATCGTTGCAACGCCACAGCCTACCTGAGTATTGTTGCTGACCATGTCAATCCCTTTATGACCACAATGCACCCAACTTCTGATGGCTACTTTCAGCAGGATAATGCGCCATGTCATAAAGCTGGAATCATCTCAGACTGGTTTCTTGAACATGACAATGAGTTCGCTGTACTCAAATGGCCTCCACAGTCACCAGATCTCAATCCAATAGAGCATCTTTGGGATGTGGTGGAACGGGAGATTCGCATCATGGATGTGCAGCCGACAAATCTGCGGCAACTGTGTGATGCCATCATGTCAATATGGACCAAACTCCCTGAGGAATGCTTCCAGCACCTTGTTGAATCTATGCCACGAAGAATTGAGGCAGTTCTGAAGGCAAAAGGGGGTCCAACCCGTTACTAGCATGGGGTACCTAATAAAGTGGCCGGTGAGTGTATACCACATATACAAAGTTTAAACGGATTTTCTTTAAAAGTCAAGCAGTAAATAACTTTCACGGTGACAAAGAACTGTAATGTCACATGAGCGTAACGGCAATACAGATGATCAAAAACAAACATGTTTTGTTAGTTGACGCCC